TATATATATATATATATATATATATATATTTTTTTTTTTTTTTTTTTTTTTTTTTTTTTTTTTTTTAGGCGGGTTTTACTGGGCGGGTTTTTAATGTCAATTCTGATATATATAACCTCAGAATATATATATATATATATATATATATATATATATATATATATATATATATATATATATATATACACATATATATATACATATACATATATATATATATATATATATATATATATATATATATATATATATATATATATATATATATATATATATATATATATATATGTATATATATATATATATATATATATATATATATATATATACATATATATGTTAGGTATAAGTATTTATACATATATATATATATATATATATATATATATATATATATATATATATATATATATATATATATATTATATTAAAATAATAATAAAATACAATTAAATTTGTAACATAACTCAGAGTTTCACGCTATATGCGATCATCAGACGTTACAAACAACCATAACAACAACAAAAATTATACACAAAAATGCAATACAGTGTTAGCTTAGATGACGTTAAAGTTGCAGATAACAAATTTGTTTTCGTGGCGACATTTAGATATTAATTCATTTCGCTTATTAATTAATATCTAAATGTCGCCACGAAAAATTAATATCTAAATGTCGCCACGAAAACAAATTTGTTATCTGCAACTTTAACGTCATCTAAGCTAACACTGTATTGTATTTTTGTATATAATTTTTGTTGTTGTTATGGTTGTTTGTAACGTCTGATGATCACATATAGCGTGAAACTCTGAGTTATGTTACAAATTTAATTGTATTTTATTATTATTTTAATATAATATATATTTGCTCTACTTTATTATTGAGCACTGTCTACCGAACTCTTATTACTGATATATATATATATATATATATATATATATATATATATATATATATATATATATATATATATATATATTCTGAGGTTATATATATCAGGATTGACATTAAAAACCGCCCAGTAAAACCCGCCTAAAAAAACTTATAAAACCCAGGAAAGCTGGGTTTTTTTGAGATATTTTTTAATTTTATGAACTATTATATTATTAATATATATTATTATTAACCAACATTTCTGAAAACATAAACATTTTATAGAGCTTGCTATAAAGGGAAATTTTCAAATCAAACACAATATTATTTTTATTTAAAAGAATTTTATTTTAAGAAACTAAACAAATTAGATTCATTTAATTAGATTTTTTAGAATAAATACATTTTGACTAGACTAATTATACTTTTGATATACTTTTTACAAAAACAATCTATTTTTGATACTGTCTATATATTTGCACAAGCTTTTCAGCTTTTTCACTTCCTAATATATTTCTAACATTTGACAAAATATATTTCTAACATTTGACCAAACAAAGAAAATATTCCTTCTATTGATCCTGAGCTAGCAGGACATGTTTGAAGTTAAGAAATAAATTTTATGTGTATTTCTATACAGTCAATTTGGGAGTTCCATCAGGTATTATTTGGTAACTGAGGCATATCCCCTCCTTTCTCACACAACCATCCCTTAAAATAAAAGTTGAATAGTTAATTTTAAACTTTTATATATTTTTTTTACTTGAAGTTTATAATTCAAAAATACAAAATAATGTTTACATGTGGTTGATGTGTATTGCAAAAATATTTCTGCACTTCAACCACATGTTTAATGACATCTGAGTGTATTATTTCTTTTTCTAAAAGATATAAATAATGTGCAGAACACCCATATGTTAAAAGATTTGGATATGCTTTTTTGATTAAATCCCTCACTTTTTTCATCTTTTTTTTATTATCTCTTACCACAGCGAATACTTCTTTGTTCTATGTTTCTTTAAGATCTTTTATGACATTACAAAGGAGTTCAGTATAATACCTGGCTGTTTTTTTATTTGATGCACAATCAGTGATGCATAAAATGTTAGACTTAAGTCCGTATATGCGCTATGAGCAATAATGAGATCATTAGTAACACTACACCATCCATCTTGCATAATTGTTATTGTTTTCACTTCTTGGGTAAGTTGATCCATCAAATTCATGGTCTGCGAAGCTAACTTCTATCAATTAAATCTTAATTCAAGATCGCATAATTCGCCAAACTTGCTTGCTCCTAGTGAGACTAATTAAATCTGCTATTCCTTCTTCTGATCTCAATGTTGATGGGTACTATCCTTTGATTCGCAAAGGCTCCAATTGTCACATGCTTGGCTTAGGAGTATACATACGTATCAATTCATTTATTTGTCATGAAATCAGGTTCAAAGCTTTTGACCATTCCTTTATGTGCTTCCGCTCAGCACCTCTTCACTCTATCACCTTTCTTTTTGTTCTTTATCGTTCTCATTCTTCCTAAGGCTATACTCTTTTAGATATAATTTCTGATCATATTGGCCATGCTCTCTCTCTTTACCCCTCTGCCAATATTGTTGTTATTTGTGA